TTTTCTAAAATAACTGATATTTGAGGAAAACAGGGTTCACTTTCTCCTATTAATCACTCCCTACCCCTAAATCATACTCCAAAACTTAGAGAAAAATGTATTTCTCCCTTTATAGCTCACTTTGGGTGAGCTTTTCTCTTCACACATTAGCATGGTATGGTTAATGTTTGCCCACGCTGCACAGGCCATATTAAGTAACCCAGTTAACTCAGTCATAATAAATAATCCTGTTAATGCCCTAAGAAAACCTTAAGGCAAAAGTAAAGGACTGATATGATGAAAAAATTAAAATACAGCAGGGGTAGTCATTAAGACAGTGGAAAAAAGTTAGATGGGTAAGCAGCACCAAGTTATAAATACTTGCAAAAAGAGCTCAGAAAGGAGCTCTATTTTTCTTAAAGAAATATGCATTCTGGAGTTATAACTTTGCTCCTGAAACAGGGTCTATATGAACTTTAATAACAGAGTAATTCTCTCCCATTTCTTCCCACTACTAGCTTTTTGAACCTTGTTTTCAAGCCTTTCTTTTCTCCTTTTTCATTATGTCTTTGATTAGAGATCTGCCCGACCATCCCTACAGAACACGATTTTAGTGGCACATTTGGGTCCCTCCTTGAAAAGCAGTCGAGATACCTTCTGCGGAAACACAGGACTAATTCCAACTTCTGGGACTTCTGGTCTGTACTAGAGCAAACTTTTTAGCACTGAGATGTATTTAAAGCTATAAACTTTGCAAATTATTCCCATCAAACAATGACCTCAAGGCAGTACTCCTTCCAACTGCAGATCAAACACATTCCATGGTTCAGTAAAATACAGTTTACATTCATCTCTAAGTCAGAGATTAAGGAATTATTAACTGGTTTCCATCTGGCTTTCTTACTGGAGTTGAAGTTCGAATAGTTTCACTGCACTCAAATATTTTCTTAAAAAATAGTAAACAGCAATCCTTCTCCTGACTTTCTAAGCAGATACAGAGAAAGCAGGAACAAGAAGCAATAGAAAAAACAAGTGCAGTTAAAGATTTGTGTCTTTTATATGCCATTTGCATCAAGAGAAGGGATTTCAGCATGGGTTTTGAAAATGCCTACAAACTAGTTTCTAAAACTGCACCAATACTTGGCATAAACTTTTTTTTTCCTACACAAGGTATCAAATTCCTACTCTAAAAAACTGGAGTGATCTCCTGTTATGTGACAAAAAGGAAAGTTTTAAATCCTTATCAAAGTTACAGCAATACAGGAGCTCTCATTTCACTCACAGTACAAGTCCCTGGCACACAGAATAACTCCTCCTGAGAAAATAAACACTTCACTACTAGAATGTCCAAGGAACAACAACTCTGGGACTGATTAAGAAACAAAATAATTTCCCATTAGTAGGAAGCTATTTTCTTACTAACCCCTGGATTTACTACGTGGTAGTTTACACACCAGGAAATTCTGTAAATCTCAAAGTCATATGCCAAGAATTCATTCACTGTTTTCTAAATGAACACTCAAAAAATCCCCCTGTTAACGTGGGGACAAATTTGTTTTCTCATTCTCTTAAACTACAGAAGTTACTGACACTGATTTTAGCTGACACAGCACTTCCTGGGGGCTAAAGAATGCTTTCATAGTCAGCTTGTAGATGGGCAGCCTCATAGGACTTACATCTATTATTTAACATTAAATAAGTTGCAAACAGTAGTGAATAATGGCTTATTAACTATGCAAGGGAAACCAGGAATACCTAGTAAAAAAGCCTTAAAGAAAAACCTTTTCTTTGTATTTTCCAAATTTTCAGAAGCCCAGAGGTGAGTCACAGCTCTATGAGCTATTCAGTCCACAGAACTATACTGAATCGACAACAAATATTCACATTTTAAGGCCTCTATTAAATCTCATAGCACGAGGCTCAAGCAATTAATTTCCCCTCCTCCTCACTGATAGTCACTGGTGGGAACAAATTTCTGTGTGTAGACTAATCTGTCACTCAGCTGTCATTGCACAGTTGTAACAGGAGCATCCTCCTTTCTTGATACATCTTTTCATCTTAAAAAGAACACACTTCAAGACTGTTGATGATTTAGATAGCATTACAGGTGATTTAAGTCATCCTTACTATAGCTTCTGCAGTTGATTTCTGAAGAGGCTGTAATCTGACATTCCTTTAAGGAGCCCCATTAAAAGCTGCTTTTCTCCTAAGTCAAACATCCCTAGCAAGAAACTGAATTCAGTAAGTAGCTCCCTAAAATAAGATTCCTACCTCCCATCACAGGCAGAGATATTTAAGCATCCAATTCATAAACTTTCAAGTTCTTACATTGTGCGGTAGAATCATGGTTAAACACAGGAACCTTCTATTTGAAAACTTCAGCTGTGTGTATGTGTATATACATCGCATCTCCTAACTGCTGTCAAGAGACATCCCTACTTGCTAAGTTTCCAAGAACAGTTCACTTCTCTGAAGAAAGGCTGTGCCAGCAGCTGCAGGCCTCACTTGACTCTGTCCGGCATAGTTCTTAGCATTAAATGGCTGTGGTGTATCAGAAAGGAGTTCAAGGAAAGGTTTCAAGTACACAAACTCCACGGAAGGAGAGCTATGGATTTAATTATTTTCTTCCTAAAGACTTAACTGAATTGCCTTTCCAAATCCACCTTCGGTGGCATCAAAATCCAAAAATCATAAACCACAATGAGGCTGGGAAGATTGCTGATATTTCTGTCAGCTTCAATTTCTTCGTCTTCACAGAAAATGCTGTCTCTGATCTCCTGAAGCCCTCTTTGGGCAACCTCACACTGCAGCCCTCTGCTTGTCTTATCCATTTCTTTACAAAGCTCAGCTAAGCCACCAACACTTGCCTTTGCTCCTGCTGTTCTTAAGGAATCCAGTCTGAGATCAGGGCCGAGCACTGCTTCAGGCAGCCTGTCTCCTTCTCACTGCATGACCTGCCTCGGCATCCTCTTGTTCGTGTGTCTTTCTGTAGTGAAGTAAAACCTGCCCACAGGCCTGCGTCCTGCCAGGGTTGTGAACCTTGTGAGCTGAGGTGGCACCCAGGGGTGTGTGGGAGCTGCTTCCATATCCTGGGCGGCCCATGGCCTCAGGCTTGAGAGCTGTGGTCACCTCGAATGGTGGGAGGGACCCTCCTCAGAGCCCAGCACAGGCCCTCTTGCCTCTCACGCCCTTTGATAATATATTAACCAGTTCACAAAGGAAAGCCTCTCCTAGCACAGAGGCAAGGCTTTGCGGGTGACAAGAGACCTGGAGACGGAAACTAACCTCTAAGGCTCTCCTCACCACTGAACACTGAGTGCTTTAGAAGAGAAGCCCACCTCCCAGCCACACCAGCACTTAGCACAGTGCGCAGAGAAGACTCTCCACTGCGTAAGTGAGGGCCCAAAGAAGAGGGGCAGCCAGGCGAGGTGTGGTGGATCCACCCTCTACCCAACAGCCACTGCTACCACCAAGACCACCACTGCCACTCAGGCCATCTGCTGCTGTAATCATCAGGCGTGACACACGATGTCACTCCTGGACACCCCAAATGTGAACAGTGGTCAGGCTCCTACTGGAATGGCTACCCCTCTTCCCCCAACACCACTGCCACAACAGCACGAGCTTGGCTATGTCACTGGCGAAACAACAGGTAGGGATGAGCGGCAAATGACCAGGGGAGTGAGATGGCCCAAGACTGAAAAAAAAAAAGCTATCTTATTCAACTTCAAAATGACTCTAAAGTAAGCAGGATAAATGTTCTTATTTCCAGTTTACAGATAAGGAAAATGAAGCTCAGAGACGTTTTGGTGATTTACTCCAGGTAATGCTCTATAAAGTGGTAGAATCAGTCTAGAATCTGTATCTTCAGACCTGTGACCTGACGCTTGTCCACTCTGATTGTTCTACAACCTGTGGGTTATGCAGCGGGTATATTTATTTTCTAAAATCTATTTTTATTTGATCATTTCCTCACTTGAAAGAAAGCTCTGATTTCTTAGAAATGTAGCTTGCTTCTGAAATGGTTTTACTTTCTTTTCTTGATTTTTTAAGTATAGAATTTAATTATATTTATAGAAAAGTAATCTTCTTAAACTGGATAATTATTTATTATTGATCAAATTGATTTTCATGCCTCCCAGGATTTTCAAGTTTTCTTGAAGAGATTTTTAACTGCAAATAATATGTGAACTGTATTATGTTGGAAAGTATTTCCTTTCAGGGACTAGTAAATTATTCACTTCATTGCCCTCAGAGATAAATTATTCATTATAAAAATGCTTTTATGAATAAAAGCATATGATGCTTTTTCTGACAGTTTATAGAGTTCTGTGGGGCTTCAATTTTATTTTCTTTAATGGCAGTTTTGTTTCTTATAAGTTAACAAAATAATTCAATCTCAGTGCAAATAAATGCATTGTTTTATCACAGGCCTATGTTCTTTAACATCTTATATTAAAATGGGCCAGCTACAGAAATCTATAGGGCATAGTATGTTATTTATTGTCCAGAGTGACGTTTCTAGCTCAGGAGGCAGTTCAGTCAATTTTAAAGTCTTCAAATTTTCTAGTCTGGTTATCTGGCAATACTAATCATTAGGATACCGAATAAAATTGTTTCTACACGAAAGTCAACATCTAAGCAGATGTTTGTACAGTAGCTATTCTTTCATATTGCTCAATACCCACTGTCAATTTTACAGTTATATATATGTTATATGTTTATATATTATATATACATATATTTTAATTCCTTTCTCTGAGTAAATCACCTCATATCGCTTACGTACCTCATGTCTCTAAACAAACTTTTAGCACAGATTTCTTTTTTAAAATATGAAATCCCTAACTGAAACAAACTTTGTTAACTGGGAATGATGCTTTGTTGACTGCAAAAATGGATTTAGAGGAGCATCAAGATAAAGAGAATGAAGGAAACTAATCCTTCCTAGTCGAGGAAAGAAAGGCTTCCCATCTTGTTCTCTAGCTGTTTTGCTTTACCATTTACACATGATTACTTACCAAGTGGCAAAAATGCAAGACGGTTTCCAGCCATGGAGAGCTCATTGAGGCTGGGCAGCTGGCAAAGATGGCGGGGCACACACCATAGACGATTTCGGTCCACGGTGAGGTACTGCAGAGAAAGGCACAGGTGAAGCCTCTCGGGTAAAGTTAGCAAACGATTGGTAGAAATGTCTAGTGTCTGCAGCTCCTTCAAATCGCCAACCTCTACAACCAAAATCAAAATTAAGATAAATTGCATCCTGATTAAATGAATTAATTAAATAAATTAAATAAAATTAATCAATACTGTAACAGTTCAACCAAATAAAAATAGTAGCTGCAGCTCTTTCCATAGACATGAATGCTGAAGTGCAAAATTCAAGTCTAATATGCAAATAATGCAATCTAGGTAGGTATCTTTAAATTAGCCTGCCTGAATTTTTTTAAAAGGAGAAAAGTGCTGGCCTGGAAAAAGGAGAAACATCAAGCAGTGACTCTGAGCTAGAGGTCTGTTATTATGGCTTCTGCTGTCTGATGAATTGAAAGTTGTTGCAAAGGTGACAGAAGAACAATTACAGTCATTTCATGGCACCTGATTCTTGCTACTTTGGTGGTTTTACTTTCTAAGTAGATGGTAGGAGACTTGAAAATATAAATTATAGTATCAAGGTAAGCATACTTTATTCATGTGAACTAAATAGGAAATCTCTGGATGAAGAATTAGGATGTCTTTTGGAATTCTCACCATGGTAAAGATCATAATAATAAAATAAAATTATGGTAAGGTAGTATTTTTAGATGTTGTCCAGCCATGTGGTTCCTTCTTTAAAAACCCACTCAAACTGTACATATCCTATGAAGATTTACTTTAATTCCACCCAAATGAAATCCTTCCATTTACTCCAATATTCCCCCATCATTGATGTCCATAGTTGTAAACTGTTCCACGGTGAGTACAATTATGTCCCTGTCTCATACAGCAAATCACCAAGTCTGAAGGTGAGGAAGTTCTTCATAAGGTACTCTATTCTTCTAAAAGAAATCACCATGAAGCCTCTCAGAGCAGAGGAAGTCCTGCTAACCAGTCTCTAGAGGAGGCCATTACTCTGTCCCAGGACAGCACACTGCACTCAAGGCTCTACAGGGAGCACTCTGTAGGACAAGCCGACTTCTCTTATATCACAGACCTTCCGTGTTGAAGCCCACTGTAATGTCATCTCTCAGCCTTCTCTAACCTGACCCTACTCCACAAGCCACTCCTCTTAGATTAGGGTTTTTCATACTCCTGCCACATGAACGCACCCTGCTGGGCACATTCCAGTTTGTTCAGGGTTTGAATTAGAATGAGCATGAGCAATGTCTTCCCTACTGGAGAGAAAATCTGCCCTCTTGGATATCCAATTACACAGATTAGCTTTTCTTAAGAGCAAACGGCTTGGCAAACTATGGCTTACAGGCAAAATCTGGCTGATGGCCCACTTTTGTACTAACCACAAGCTAAGACTAGTTTTTTATTTTGAAAGGGTGGTAAAACCCAACAACAACAATTAGAGCAAAAAGATATATATGTGACAGAGACCATATGTGGCCTGCAAAGCCTAAAAATATTTAGTATCTCACAATTTACAGAAAAAGTTTGCCAGTCTTTGTTATAGACTTACTCTTAACAGAAGCATTTTTAATAACAATTTTCAATAAAAGTAATATAAGTGCAAAAATATATTAATTTTTAGTTATTTGTCTAATATTTAGAAGGGATTTGTGGTAGGAAGCTCACACTGTATTTTCTAATTTCCCCAATACTGAGCAAATATATATTTGAAGACAGTAGGCAGGATTCAGTGAACAGTATGTGACTCTGCAAGGAAGTTTTGTTCTGTGCGCGCCTAGTGATGTACATGGGAGTCGGTCTCTCTCTTGGCTCTATTAGCACAGTATTTCCTCTAGCTAAGACTGCCTGCCTATCTATTTTAGATAAAAAATTGCTTCTGATTTGGAGTGTGTCAGGGTAAGGGAGCTGAGAGAAAAACCATGTTTTAGAATTGAATAAAAAGAAATAAAAAATCTTTCTGGCCTCACTTTGTAAAGTTATTATGGAGGTAAAATGGGACAGAAATGCAGCCAATCAGCTTACACACCATGGGGTCAGGTGTTGAGAGAAGAATGTGGCAAGGTCTCTGTCGTTGAGAATTACATATAAGAGACACTGAGTGATAGGAGCTTAGAAGAAGAAGAGTAAGATGAAGAGCTGGAGAAGCTTTCGCAAAATTTATTCAAGGAGATGAGAACTCAAAATAGGTCAAAAGGAAAATGGATATAGCATTTCAAGCCAGGCCTGGGGATGGGGTTGAAAGCATGAGTAAAGGTATGTAAGTGAAAAAATAAATACAGCGTGCACAATGGACTATTTGAGACCCAACAAGTACCAAAGATACTGATGGGAAAAGAGCAGAAAATAAGTTCAGTACAGAGGGTCTGGTGGAGACATGGATGTCTGGGTATGAGAACACTGGGTAAAGAAGTCTGGGATCACTACAGTGAGAGTGTAACACTTCCTGAAGATTCTCAAAGGATGAAAGGACTCTTTGGAAATATCAGAATGGTAAATGTGCAGAAAGCAATGAAATGGAAAGAGACTGTAGGCTGGAAAAACAAGTAGACATTTGATGAAAACAGAGCCAGTGTGAGGTGTGACAGTTTGACGGTAAATTCCAGAGATATTTTAAGAAAAAAAGAGGGTATGTTTGATTGGAAATGGAAAATGGTGAAAGAGGAAAACAATCAAAGATAATTTAAAAGTTTCTACACCCTTATACTCTAAGTATGGTGACGTCAGTGCTAAGCACGTATCTATTTGTAGAAAAAAATTTAAATTGCATCAATACTTCTGAATTATAGTATCTATAAGCCACTTACTTAAAGGAATTTGAAAAATGCATCAAAATCTCATGGGAGTAAGCAAAATAAATTATTTTCATCTTTATTTCAAAAATAATTATATGTGTAAAGAAGTGTTTTGACTTGGCTGCAAAAATTACTAATGCATTGACCACCATTTTAATTCAGTATTGCATCATTGTATTATGAAATGGGGAAATAACATGTTATGAATTTAAACTTTCTATAACTTGATGATTTACTTTTTAACAGATCAATATTCACACTGTGCTTTGACAGATACGTACACATTTTCAGATATTAAAATTAATAACACTTTTGACAAAGAAAAGGAGAACACATATTGTCAGCACCAAAAGCCAAAGTACTAAGGAATGGGAAGAGGAAAGAACAGCTGACATTTCTTATTTCTTATATGTGATGAATAAAAAACCATTTTATTAAATCTGAAACATGTAGGACTGCATATATTAAATGAACAAAGGTAACAAAAGGACATTTTGCCTAAGTAGCTTAATATATAGGCCTTTTCATTTGTTAGAAAAAAATCTGAGCTAATTATTATTCTAGTTACAATACTGAATGGAATACTATATATAATATGTTTGGAAAATTAACGATTTTGTCATCCTATGAAAGTATTTGGGAAAGAGAAATAAAATTAAATAGCTTCTCAGGTGTAGTGAATTAAACATAATTTTCATGACCATTTTATAACAGGCCACAAATATAAGACTATATATGGTATCTTTATTCCAACAAAATTTAAAAATATACTTGTTAAGTTCAGCTGATGGAAAGTACATTTTTAGAAAACAATAGAGTCAAAGATTTATATAAGATCAAGTGAAAATACTTGTACAATATATCAATATTTATTTATGAGAAATAGGTAAGAAAGTATGTAATGCAAAATTTAAAGCTTTAAATATCTATATAAGAAAAGAAAGTTCTCCAATTCCTTACCTAAGCTTCCACCTTAAGAAATGAGAAAAAGTAGCAAAAATTAAATCCAAAGTAAGCAAAAGCAAAAGAAAAGAAATAATAAAAAGTATAGTGGAGATCAATGAAACAGAAATCAGAAAAAGACAGAAAAAAAGGAAAAACAAAACTTGGTTCTTTAAAGAGATCAAGAAAATTTATAAGACTTTGGCTAGACTGATCTAAATACGTACATATATACATACATATACACTTTCATTCCTTCATTTACACACAATCAGAGAGTGAAAACATAAATTATCAAAATTGGGAATAAAAGGTGGGATATCACCATCAACTATTCAGAAATTTAGAAGACTGTAAGGGTGTACTATGAACAAATTTATTCCAACAAATTAGCAACTTAGATGAAATGAACATATTCTTAGAAAAACACAAAATTACCAAACCTAATTCACAAAGTCATTAAAAATCTGAATAAACGTATTAGAAGTAGAAAAATTCAATTAGTAATTTAAAAGCTTCCCACAAAGAAAAGCCCAGGCCCAAATGGCTTTACTGGTGAATTCCATTAAATATTTATAGAAGCAATAATACCAGTTCTTCATAAGCTCTTTTAGAAAACAGGAGGGGAAACATCCCAACTCATTCTCTGAGGCAATACTACCCTGATACTAAAGTCACACAGAAAACATCACAATATAAAGAAGTCTATAAACCAGTACTCATCGTGAACATAAATGTAAAAATTCTTAAAATATTAGCAAACAAAAGGTAGCAACATATAAAAGTAATTATACAACATGAACAAGTGGGATTTATGCTTGTTATTAAGGCTTATTTAAAATCTGAAAAATCAATGCAGTATACATGGTTACAGAAGGATGAAAACTACATGATCATCTCAACAGATCAGAAAAACCATTTCACAAAAATCCAAAAACCCACTAATGATAAAAAATTTCAATAAACTAGGAACAAAAGGTAGCTTCCTCAACCCAATAATGAGCATCTACAGAATACCTAGAGCTGAGATCATATTTAACTGTGACTGACTGACTGCTTTCCCTGTTAGATCAGGAACATGACAGGAAGGTCCACTCTCTCTACTCGAGGTTCTAGCAAATGCAACAAGGCAAAACAAATTAACAAAAAGCATCAAGATTGGAAAAGAAGTAAAGCTTTCTTTATTCACGGATGACATATTCCTTAGTAGAAAATCCTAAGGAATTCACAACTATGACTGAGTAATAAAAAGGACTAAACTATATATACACGTAACAACACAGTTTAATCTCAAATGCATTATGCTAAGTGGAAGAAGCCAGACTCAAAGGGTACTTATGTATGGTTCCATTTATATGCTATTCTGGAAAAGGCAAAAC